AAAGCCACCTCTGTGCCATGATATAAACGTACAGTGTGCAGGTACTGCCAGTGCAGTGGCTGAGCTGCTGGTGAGTCTGTACAAGTTTCATGCAGCATTAGATCTTCAAGGAGGCATTTTCGCTTCTTTTTTTTAAATCCCCCTTGTAATTCTTTCATGTAATCTGTGTAAATTTTTAGGGCTTTTTGTAGGGGATTGTGGAGAGTTTTCATTTGTGTAATACTCCTACGTATATCAGGTCATCCAGTCCAGTAAACTCACCAAGACAGGGACTTCTTCCAAGTCTTACATTTAACAAGATGCCCCAGAGAATTACTGCTTTTCATTTCGTTTTGTTTATATTCATGTTAATGAGCTGAGTATGTTCTTTAATGCATTGCACTTAAATTTTTCCAGAAATGAAAAATTCATTGTGCACTGATAGCTGGGAAAACAATTCTGAGTTACTAGGCCATTCCTGGCTGAGCTAATGGTTTGTTTTAAAAACAAGAATAAGCCCTTTAGTCAGCTAGGACATTTCAGTAATCTGTAACCTTTGTTGAAAGATTAGGAGAAACATTGGCAGGCACTTGCTGGGAGTTACAATTTGTGCAGGTGAATAAAACGCCAGTGAGTGAGTTACAGCACTTGCAGATAACACCGAACAAAATGAAATCATTATTTGCCAAGTCCTCCAGACAATATTGAGGAGTTGTGGTGGTGTCACTTCATGTCAGGGTATGACACTTTCCCAGTGCTGGCTCTGTGACAGGCAGTTGGCCAAAACACTGTTGTTTCTTGGGAGTTCCTGATGTTTGCTGTGGGTCCACCATGCACCGGTGCATGCAAGCGTGCGTGGAGAGAGCACTCAGCTGTAGGAACCTGCCTCTGTCTTCAGCTGCAGGAGCTCTCTCTTCTTCAGAGTCCTCAGTGTGACCCATAGCAACAAGAAGGGTGGTGGCTTCTGTGTCAGTACCAGACTATGTCCTGCAAAACCCATGGGTCGTGGCACCCTGCAGTGACGACAACAGGAGGGAATTGTTGGAAGAAGGAAAGAGGGTTACTGCTGCTTGTGGTAGTAGTGCAAGTTAGTTGAGAAGTAAGAACCAGAGACAGAGGGGCAGGAGGTGACCAGCAGGACAACAAATCCAGACAACAGAGAGTTGGAGGAGGAATTGCAATTTACTTTGGAGGTCCTTTTGTTAAGCTCAAAAGGAGTGCTCACGGAAATGAGAGAGGAAATGAGAAATAAGAAATCTTAGCTCTTGGGCTAAGAACGCATGTGTGAATAGGTCCACATTGAGTCTTGTCTTAAACTGATCACACTTGCAGGAGAGGATCAAATCCATTTTGGTCTTTGTGTTGACATTCCTTGGTCTTCTTTGGAGAGCACTTTGGGAGCTCTACTTTTAAAAGTGTTTAGCAAATGTAAAATTTGATTTGTAAATACAGTTGTTAAAGTTCAAATAAAAAATTAAGTAAAGACTAACATGTTGAAATATAAATCTACAAATAAATTTATGTTTGAAAAACATCAAAACTGAATTATGGTAAACATCTCACAGAGGAAACAAAAGTAACTTTCAACACCTACGGTTTTGCTCAGGACTGGGTGGTCTTTTCAAAGGTGGGAGAAGATTATGTGTTAAATTTGGTATTTCGTAAGCAATTCTCACCCAGCCATCATTTGCATGGGACACTGGTATGTTGTTTAAGTCTGTATAGGACATAATCCACCTTTTTCGTCTTCCTACTTTTGGGATCTGCTTTAAAGTCTGTCTTGAGAACAGACAGAAAAAGCATTATATGGAAAAAGTGTGCCATATTGGAGGGTGTAAGTACCTCTTGCTTTGCTAGCAAGTGTTACACAGCTCATGAGTTATGGTGATGCCCAGATTTATCTCCTGCCTTCCTAGGGAGGGCTGAAGAGAGATGATGTCTGTTTCCTTGCAAGTGTATGTTGGAGAGCTACTGGCTGTATATTCACTGGGTATTGCCATACATACATATTGCCTTTTTCTTTATTAAATCACCAAGTCAAACAAATGTGATGGGGAAAGTGGCTCTGGGAAGTGAAGGCTTATGGGCAGGGGCTGCTGTAAAGCCACGTCATGTGCTTGATGTGGACAGGGAGCAGTCCTGTGGTGCCTGGTGGCCACCTGGCTTCCTGCTGTGCCTTGGGATTATCTGATTTTTCATACAAGTGAAATAATTTATGATTGAGTAGAGGATAGGAGCAAGGGAAAGTGGTCAAATGTGGTTGCTGCTGTTTGACTGACCATATAGTGAGGTGCTCAGAGAGACCACATGAAGTCCCCCAAACCTGCAAGTAAACAATTCTGTGGATTCTGTCGATGTCTCTTGACATCATGTCTGTTCGTCTTCCCTCAGTGTTGTTTAGCTTCATGCAGCTTAAACCTGGATATAAGTGCCTTGTATTCAAAGTCCAGTTTGAAGGTTGCAGGCACTGTTTTCTTCAAATACCCCTCAAGTATCTGTCTCTCACATCATCTGTGCTGTCATGTATTTTTGGCAGTGCATAAAATGCTTAGCTAAAGGATGCACTGAGCACTCCAGCCTTTCAAGCCTGACTGAAACCAGCAGTTTTGTACACAGTAACTGAACGCTAGAATTGAAATTGCTTTGTTTTGACTCAGGCAATCCATAGATGTGTCTGCTGGTAGCTCCTTGCTGAGTTTGTATGTATGAAGAAATCCTCTTCCTAGAAGTAGAACAGCCCATCCTCTTCCTTTTCCTTTAAATGCTTTTTCCTCAAAATTTTGTATTTCATCTCTTGATATTTCATGCAGCATCTTCTGGCTTGTTTATGTTTGTTAAAGACCACCCCTGTAAAAACACCAAGTTACTCCTGGCTGTCCAAACTTAATCGTGTTGCATCTCAGGGACTAATGATACAACCGCAGGATTCCACACGCAACCCCCATCCCCATTATTGTTCATGCTTCAATTTGGTTTGTTGCTGGTTTTTTTTTTTTTTTTCTTTCTTTCTTTGGGGAATATAGAAAACAAAAATGAAATTATGACCTGTAAGAGTTTGCTCAACCCCTGAGGAATTTAATGAGACAGGAAAAAGACAAAGAGCCACAGTGCATCCTTCCCTGCTGAATTTGAGGCATGTGACAAGCAGAGGAGGGGTGTGTGAGTACCTCCTGAAAAACGTGTGGAAATCCTTCACTGAGTGTGTTACAATCTCTGGGCACTGCTGGTCTCCTGCCATTTGTCTCCTGATATTCCTTCATTTGATTCTTTGCAAATAGTTGAATCTTTCCCTGAAATTTTAGGAAATCAATTATTTTGCATGCTGTCTTTTTCTGTATGCATTCAGTCAAACAGTTAAAACCTTCATGCACCTTCCTATTTTACGCCTTGTCTGAAACCTCCATTCACCTTTTGATTTTACTGCTTGTCTGAAGTTGCCAGTTTGAATTCTTCTGGAGTACATTTTTCTGTTCCATGAGATGTTTTCTCATCTGAACCATGAGATGCTGTCTTTATGCAGGCCCATGTTTTGCTGCTTCTGTCACCACAAAGAAAATTGAGTGGTATTCTGTAGTGACTTGAGTTGTCTGAATAAATGGAGAACATTTCTCAAAGTCCGTGCCCGCAGAAGGAGTATCTCTTCTGTGGATTCAGAGCCGCTTTCTCTGAATTCTCTGAGGTGTTTGTGTACGACTTGGGTAACTTGTGTATTGAGTTATTGTGTGTGTGCGCTTAAAATAAAGCTGGTAGCCACTTGGAAATGCTGGTCTTGCAGACTTCAGTTGCCTGCTGCACACCATAAAATTTTGGTGTGTTGGTGCCTTGTTGACATTCTTTCCTTTCTAGTCTGCCTGCTTCTGAACCAGAAAAACGAGGGGAAACAGTGCCATTTCACTGAATTTCAGTAGTCACTGATGCTTTCTCTTTGACTAGCTCTCACTCCTTTATGAAATTCTTGACAGCCGCCTGTTTATATTTGAAGCTTTGTATTGTCACCTTTTGTGGGTTGGAGCTGTGGGGACCTTTATCACCATGCTTCTGCTTGCAGAGGTCAGTCCCTGTCACCTAGCCAGGTTCAGCTGAGCTTCGGGCACCACATGTAAGACAGCGAAGAGGCTGCCTAAAGAAATCGCTGGGGCAAATGTCCCCTGGTGGTGGGAGGGCATGTGTGGTAAATTTCAGCCTAGCTAGTAATGGGCAGGTGGCTTTTCTCCTGCAGTCTCTGCAGACCTGCTTTCACAGGAGCCAGCTGACCCTTCTAAAAGTGTCAGTAGAAATGCTGTGGACACCTGAGGAGAGAGTAGGTTATGTCCATCTACGTCCATGTTGTGGTAACATATGTAAGTGTGGTAAGAATTTGCCAGTTCTCTGTGTGGGGTCGTACCTGTTTTCTGGAACAGGAGGTGCATCTTTGCTCTGCCCAGACAATCACTTTGTTCTCTTTGGTCTCTGCTGTGCTGATGGGCTGTGTGCTCCTTCCTTCACAGTGACCACCTCCAAATGGCTTGGGCATCTGCATTTTCAGCTCTGAGCATCTGCTTTGTCATCCGTTCCTACTGTTTCCACCCTTTATCTGCCCCATTTAAGTAAGGAATGCTGTCAACCTTAAAGATGCACATAACACTTCATAGCACCCAGCAGAAGGTTTGGATCTGCTCCGTTCCCACTTTCTTTCATCGGTGCAGTAATTACTCTGTGTTCAACCATGGATGATGAATAACATGTTTGTACACAGTAGTGACTTGCCTGACTTGCAGACTAATGAAAAACAAACGTCAGCCTGCTGCTCCCATTAAGATGAGTGCCAGCGTGAAAGGGGTCATCCTTCTTGTGCCACCAAAAGGAAAGGTTACTTTGCATGGCCTGGCAGTAAGCTACACAGAGAAGTGGACCTGGATTTTAATGCTTGAGTTGGCATGGAAGAAGGGGGACTCCTGTAAAATCAGGAGTCAACAAGCTGGAGAAGGGGGGAGGAGAGGAAAATTGTCAGCTTTTGATGGCACTAGCATGTACAATCGGTGATGGCAGTGGGCTGCAGATGGGAAGCTGGAAGCGCATGGGGTTTTTCTCACTTGCTGGTGAAACTTAGGAATTGGTACAGTGTGCTTCTGAAAAGCAGTGACGTGCGAAAACTTCCTGTGTACAGCAACAATTGCCACTGGCAAGAGATCTTCCGCCACGGCACTGGGGGAGAGAGAGGTCTGTGCTTCCACGTGAGAGGTCAGCGCCTGAGCATCGGTGTAAGGCTTCATGCTTGAACTGGTAGAGAATAATTCTGAAAGGAGGAGAACTCTAAAGCCATAGCTGCTTGGCTTATTAGTTCCTAATTAATGCGAGGTGGTAGGAATGAAATAAAGAATCCCTTGTTTTCTTTGCACAGCTTAACATAATGTAAATCCATGGTAAGAAGCTGTGGAAAATATCACCCCCATGAGAAATGATTTTTTTCAAACACTGTCTTGCTTGAAAGCGTGCTTTGTGGAGCTCGGGTGGAATTCTAAACCTGTTGTTTCCACAGTTAAAGAAATAATTAGTTGCTCTTGACTTTCAAAGCCGCATGCAATCAGTGACCTTTAATTTTGTCTCCTTCATCCATTACACTCAGTGTGTAACAATATTGTGTTTTCTCCCATTTATTCCTGTCACATGCATTAGCTTGTAAAGTAATTCACTTTCAAACACTTTTATCTACTTTGGCTACATCAAAGAGCTATTGTGGACTTTAGACTGTTTAAAATCTCTTCGGAAATTTAAGAGCTCCATTTGGTGCTTATGGAGTAGGAGTGTTGGAGGGTATGACTTGCTGTAGGCCTGTAATGCATTGGGATAAACTCTCATTCCTTTTCCATTGCCAAAATCTTAGTAGCAAAACAAGCTGGAGTTCACCCACTGCAAGAATTGTGAGAGTCACATACGTTCTCAAACCTAGGGGAGAGCAAATGGGATTAAAAAGATGTCTTGTTCCTAATTGTATCTGACTCCATATGATTTTGTTTGTTTGTTTTTCAGAGTCCCATGTTTGTGAATACTTGCTCATGGCTCTTATTTTATTTTTGCAGTTTGCAACTTCATGTCTCATGAAAAGTGCCTCAAGAATGTCAAGATACCGTGCTCATGTATTGCCCCCAGCCTTGTAAGGGTGAGTAAGCACATGCTGCCTTGTCTCTTTTCTTGGGTAAATAGCACAAATTTATCACCAATGAACATGGTGTAGTACAGTGGTGGCTTGTTAATGTTGTAACGCTTAAATCAATTCTGTTAGTCATCACTGAGGGTTTTATAGCTGCTTAAAGGCAAAGTTACATTTCCTTCAAAAAGTCCCTGCTATGGGCAACTGTGGATAGTCTGTCTTTGAAGAGCAGTCATTTGCATTCTTTAAATATTACTAGATGTCCTTGTGTGTCATTACCTGGAAGCTTCTCAGTAATGGAGTGGCATGACTGATTGATATCAGTGCTCTGAGAATACCACAGAGTGTGTCATACTAAAGAAGAACTCTGTACACCACCACATTTTTTACAGCAATTACATCTCACTGGGAAAATGCTAAAGCTTCTCTGCCTAGTGAAGGGGCTGTGTTTGGTCTCTGTTGATTGCTGAATCTTAAGAATTTGCTTGTTGGTAATAAATCAAATTTATTTATTTTGGTAATTAATAAAGCACTTGCTTTCAGGTGTCCTGTGACTTTTTCCTCCCACAAGACTTCATGCTTAAGAGATTGCTTTTAAAGGGTGTGAAAGATCAATCAACTTTAAAGAAGACAGTAGGATGCAGCTAAGTTATTAGGAAGCCAAACTGAGGACAAAACAAAGTGTAATATCCACTTGGGAAAGGATGACAGAAAAGGAAAAAAAAGAAGGGAAGAGGGAGATGAGAAACTTACTAGAGAAGTTGCAGAACGCTACAAATACCTTAAGGAGCCATATGCAAAAGTCAAATGAGACATGGCTGTGAAATCAGAATCATGCATTACAGACTTTGCTAGCTAAAAGAACATTTATGGGAGCACATTGTATAGACCTGGGAACCTGTGACACGAACCCTTCTTTGTATCCTAAAAAGCTTTACAAGTTCCTTTGTATTGTAGAAACCTATGTAGAGGGTGAGATGGGAAAGTTTAAAACAATATGTAACTTGAGTTACAGGAATTCGATAGAGAAAAATTAGCCACTTGTTTTTCTTAAATTTGCTTTGCCTAGATGATGATGCTGTTACGCTTTGCTGCACACTGCTTCTTCTCCACATGTTTTTTATCTTCACAGGTATAACTTAGGTGGCAAAAAGGTGTCTGAAGTTGCCAGTGAAATATTAAGAAATGCTGTTCTAAGACTTACAACCCACAGTAAAGGGACATGTAGACAGTGAGAAATGCTATTACTAAGAATTAGCATCTTCCACTGTCTCAGTATGCTGGTGATCAGTCATTGTGGCATGGGAAAAGGAACGATGAGTCAGATGATATAGGTATCTTTACAAGGGCCTTTGGGGGGATGGTACATATCCAACTGGGACACATTCATTTAATTCAGAGTGTCTGGAGTTGTAAACATTTTGTGACTGCTTCTTTTGTGAATTTGCTCTAAATGTAATTCATTGTTCAAAATAGTATTTGTTCCTTTGCTTTTGTATGGTAAAAATCCTGCATTCAAACTTAACTAACGTTTCCACTTGCATCAGTCACGGATGTCAGTGTAGTATTTTTGTTCTTTTCCCAGTCACCATTCTCTACGTGCCCCAAGACATGAATTTTATCTAATTGTTTATTGTTTACATGTAAAATCTAACTATCCTTGCTGTGCAGTAGAGTTTGCTTTATCGGAGTGGTGGTGTCAGCCCTCAAAGCTGTTTGCAGTTCAGTGTTGCTGTATTTAGCTGCAAAGAGCCTTGTGTGTTATCCGTGTTGAGCTATAATGATTATGTTTTGAAAATACTGGATAGTGCTATTATTTCTGGGCAGTCTTGTCCTTAACGTGGTCATCCAAGTTGCATTAATCCTGGTCTGTGCACATGAAGTCTGCCATATGGGAGATATCGTTTTGTGTGCAGGCTCTGTCGAAGTAAATATTGAACTTGGCATTTGCTTAGAAAACATAACAGAGCAAAAAACAAATTCTAATCGTTTATAGAATGTGTGGAAAGTTTTCTTAATCTCCCTGCTCTCCTTTCAGATTATTTATTATTTATTTATGAAAAGGTCCAAAGTAGGAGGGAACACTGGTGGGATTTTTTTTTTTATAGTTCCTTCTAGTATGTCAATATTCAGTGTATTACAGAAATCAGATATTTTTTTTTTTTTAATACCCTGGATTTAATCTAGAGAAGATGGCAATTGTTAAAGCTCATCAGAGTGTGTGTCATTTGATACTACGTCAAACTGTCAGAGAATAATTTTTCAGCAGACGTTTCATGGAAACTTTTATTCCTGAGAGTAGGATTTCCTTCCCAGGGTCAAGTAAAGGCCCACAGAGTCATAAGCATGCCGCGACTGCTCCAGCCTCAGCTCATTTGTGACCTCACTCTTAAGGCTGCTCTGAGAATTTTTGTGCACTATTGTTAACGATTATCACCTGCATTTAGTATTCCAGACAGCGGATCCTGTTCATGAAGTTTCAAAACAACTTCATGGATCAGTCTTCTGAACAAGTTTGTGTTTTTAGGATCTGCAAGGGATATGATTTGTTTCACTGGTAAGGTCTCAGCAACTTTTCCAAATTCAAACCCTCTCTCCCCTACATTCCCATAAGTATTTGCGTAGTCTGAGGTATGTGTAGAAAAACAAAACAAACCTAAAACCCACTAACACAAAAAAAAGGCAACCCCACCCGCAAAACACCCTACAAAAACCAAAATAACAGTGAAAACAAAACCTCTTTGATTTGGTGTGAAATGTGAAGTTTTATTTTCCTGTGTTAGATTGGAATTGAAGCTGTATTACAAGTTTTTTGCCCCTTAGATTTGCCATAGAAGTTCATGTGTGTTTTCTATGTAATTGCTCTTTGAAAAGTAAATGGAAATGAGAGTACATTAAAAGTGGTTTTAGCGAAGTTAGGCATTTGCTGTGTTTGTTTTTCCTTCTTCTTGTGTTGGTGCATTGCTGTAATGGTTTCTAAACATTTCCACTTCAAGAAAGGCTGATAGGCTGCTCGTGAAACTTTCTTGTGTGCTTTTGATCTTAAAGCCAGGTTGTTTAGCATGGAAAAGTGCTGGTTTAGGTCATCAGCTTCTCCTGAAGCTTCCTATGCTAAAAATAAAACTTGGCTCTGTAGTTCAGACCGTGGGTAGCTGCTGTGTTCACGGGTTGTCATAGTGAATGGGAAGGTTGTGGTGCTCGCAGAGGTCTCTGCTGTGGCAAGCAGGTGTTGCCCATGCCTGCTGACCGGAATCTCTTCCGCTGGCTGCTGGATTCAGCTGTGTGCAGGTGGTTATTTGGGTCAGTTCCACATGCACTGAAAGCAGAAGAGAGGGAAAAAGGATACTCAGGTTAGGGTAAGTCCTCCAACCCCCCTTCTGATGATCTGTTCAGTATTGGACACTTCATACTTTGTATACACAGCAGCAGCATCTCATTTTTTCTGCAGCTGCAGGACTTCTGTACTGGGACACAACCTCTTTTTTGTTTACTTTCTCTCCCTACTTCTTTTCCCTGCCCAAGAAGTAATAGGAAGCTCCAACAAAGTGTGAGACAAAGACCATCAAGGCTTGGTTACTGCATCACTTGCCTTGTAATAATAAATCCACCTATCTCGTTCAGCTGTCAGAAATGTCTGGTGGATTTTTGTGTGAGAGCCTTAGAGAACTGGCTTTTAAGGAATGTTGTTGCAAATGGCTCGTAGACATTTTAGCAAATGGAAAGGAGCTTGACAAGCTGGTAAGGAGAATTTGATGCAGTTGGATTGGGTGGGAGTTCTGGAGAGTAGGGGCGGGGGGGGGACGGGGACGGGGACAGACACCAAAATTCCTTATTGGAAAATCATTCCTTGGTGGTAGTTGCAAGTGTTGGAGGTTTTATTTCAACATGAGTTTAAAAATGCTGCAGTGAATGCTTGCTGACCTGTTACTGCTTCTCCCAGCAGACTGTTGTAGAAGACAGGTTGAAATGCAATCATAGAATGGATTAGGTTGGAAGGGACCTTGAAGATCATTGAGTTCCAACCCCCTCGCCACAGGCAATGTCTGTGAATAAGCTGGTTGGCATATTATTGTTACATCTCATGTTCAAATTCTGTATATTTGGCATGCATCAATCAAGGGACTTTTTGTCCTGCCCCTCTTGTTGTATCTTCTTGATGGTGGTGGCAGTAGAATTAGGTCTTCAATGTGAACTTGACTCACAAAGTATACGCTTAATATTTTTCCTCTTTCATGTTATGTGTTATAAAAACCAGTTTGAGAAAGTTGTTTATTCTCTCTCTTCTTCCCTTTTATTTGTCCGTGATAAAGAGGCTTTGCTGGTGTGGGGTTGTTTTCAGAGCATGTCCTAACAATGGTTGGGTCCCAAGCTGATCTTTTTAGCAGGGCCTGTTGCAATAGGACAAGGGGCAATGGTTTTGAACTTAAAGAGGGTAGATTCAGACTAGATTTAAGGAAAACATTGTTTATGATGGGGGTGGTGAAACACTGGCACAGGTTGCCCAGAGAGGTGGTAGATGCCTCATCGCTGATAATGGATTGGAATGCGCTCTGAGCAACCTGATCTAGTTGAAGCTGTTCCTGCTCATTGCCGTGGAGTTGGACAAGATGACCTTTAAAGGTCCCTTCCAATTCAAACCATTCTGTGATTTCACTTGAGTACTTTCTCAATAGCCCTGACCACCTTAACCGAGAAGGTCCATCTCTGGTTCTTCATTACTTGACCCATACTTGCCTTGTTTCAGCAAGGCAATTGCTTGGAATGTGGCAGCCACATGCCATAATTTAGAAGTCAAATGAGGTGTAAAACTGCTTGCTGGTAACCCTGGCACTGCATCAAGGTCTCCTCCTTTTCCTCCCCAAAGCAATAGTCCCTTTAACCCTGAGGTTAAAGGGAAGGGCTTGGCACCCCATAGTTCATGAACTCAAGAGAGCTTATTATGCTCTATTGAAATTTGATGCAAGCTGCCTGGTAGCCTATGAACTCCCAGACGAGCCCCGTAGCTGTAT